ATTTCCATTAAAAATTATTAAATTTGCATTAGACTAGATATAATTTTTTTAATTTAATTATTTGTATTTAAAATAATAAATTAAAGTACAGTTAATTGATTAAATGAGTATCAATCAACAATTCAATTAATTAATTAATTAATTAACACATGAGTAAGAAGCAAAGATAGCCTAATTGTTCCTCCTATTTTTTTAATTTTTGTAGGATTATAGAAATAACAATAATGAGTAGATTAGTTGTTATTTCAAATCAAAAAAGGTGATGGTTATTTTATTGATAATGATTTATTTGAATGCATAATTAAAGAAATGAATATGAGAATTTTAATTACAATAACTTTTAAAATTTTGAAAAAAAAAAAAAAGAAAATTACAATACAAACAGTAATGTAATAAAAAAATCACGATTGAAAATTTAATTATAAATTATTTAACTTAATTACTTATATTAAACGTTAAATTAAAATATTATTTTGAATAGATAAGCTGCCTAAATAGTAAATAGGAAACCTCATATGATTGAAAATGAAAAACATGAATATAGCGTTAAAACAAACAGAAATATATACATTTTAAAAAAAGCACTTTTACAAACAAATAAATAAAAATGTAGAGTGTTTTTAACAACTGAAGTGAAAATCTATTCTTGATAATTTTAAGTCTATTCTCAAATTGGATACCCTCTTTGTAACACGACGGACGGCGAAAAGAACCAATTTTTGTGTTCTGTTCTTAAATTTCTTTTTTAACATTTTCATACTTGGAATGCACCCAATAATATTTAATTTCTAATTTTCATGGATGAGCTTTGCATAAAACATAATAGATCACTGTTTAGCGAAATAAACATTCTAACTAAAATTTTTGTGTAATGGAGTCAGGCTGAAGAAAAAAGGAAAAAAAAAAAGGAATGCCAATCGAATATAATGTCCTTTTTAAAGGAAGAATCCTGGATAACAGCAAAAGAATAATCTTGTCTTATAAATCACTACTGCATAAATGGTTTTGACTAATAAAATACATGTTAAAAAAAGGAAACACTTACAAATTTTTTTTTAAAAAAATAAAACAAAAAACTAACATTAAGCCAATACAAAGAGAACGGGTGGAGGGCCAAAAACAGATTTTTACAACACTAACAAAAATATTTCTTTGGAGAATTAATAAAGACAAGAAAATCAAGGCTTCAGGAGATTCTCAACCGCTTCAAAGAACAAGGGTGCCATCTCAGGGCTCGGAGTCTTAATTGCGCATTTGAGGCCAGGATTTCCAATAACTGTTGTGAGTTCAATCAAAAAGGGTACACCTCGTGGGATCTTTGCAGAGAAATAGAACACGTCCTGATTCGCGTGCTTGCGCTTTGCTATGAAAAACATGTTTGATGCAGCCAGCCGATCCAGTGTTGCTTCTGCGCTGCTTATCGCAAGCCCTGGAAAGTCCTTTTGGACCTCGTTTGAATCCGGAAGGGATCTCCATGTCTGTATAATGAAGATGACACGTGCAGATAAAGTTCCAACATCTAGAAATGATGCAAAGAAAAAAAAAAAAACATCCAAACAAACAGTAAAATATTGACAATTAAGCTTTTTCGGTTCAGAGCTTATGATCAGGTCGTATAGGATACCAATTATAAATAGAGTTGCATCCTTTCTCTTAAACCACTAAAATGACAGAAGTATATCAGTAGCAAGAGGCAATAGGTTTGTGAAACCTCATCATCCATACCACTACCGAGGAGCACATTAAGAATATTATTAGACAATTATCATCATAGCTATAAGAAATTATGAAACTTTCTATCAACATGGAACTCCAGAAAATTCTTACCTCAAGAAAGCTTCCACGCTCCATTCTACCATCTTCAGTGAAAAATACGTTCA